GGAAGGGATATCGTTAGGATAGACAGACTAGGGAAGACATTGTTGAGCCACCTTTGGCAAAGTAGAAAGGAACGATTGGCCATCGGTGATCGGTCCTGTGGGAACAATGCTCGGTCCTCTCAAGGACGCGTGGTCAAAGGTCCAACCGCTAAGGCATGCAAAACATAAGAGTACGCCCCCCCCTCCACCCCTCGCTCCCCCCCCCATTACCTCGGTGTTTGCCATCGGGATTGAGTTTTCGTCGCTTGGCAACGACGTTGTAAAACAAGCCAACCAGGTCACCGTTTTTTTCTCGTTTTTTAGTTTTGCGGTAACCATACTGGTGGTCGAGTAGATCATGTTGTGCGGGGTGGANGCGTGCTCCGTCCCGGCTTTGTAGGGATGCGAGGTCAATGGTTCAACGACTACGGCATGCACGACTATGAGTACACCCCCTCACCCCCGAGTTCAAGAGGACAGACAACCTCCGCTCATAACCGATGATGCCCGGTTCAGAGCCTAGCAAAGTTTCCCTGAAGTGACGTTTGTTGGTTCCAGACGGAAGGAGATCGCGAGCCTCTCACGAGATGCAACATTTTTCTGCTGTCCCCATTGGGTAGGAAAGACACACGAGTGAGATGCGTACCATCGCACCGCTGTTTTGGGGCACATGTACCACTAATACTGCTGCTTTTACTGTTGTGGTGGAAGCTTACCTGCGGCTTGAGGGCAGTAGTGTGGCACTCCAGGCTACATACATAAGGTTGTCGGAGATGAGCTTGTATGACGAGCAACTGCAACCACCACCGCGCCAAACAAAATCGCAATCGCCATCATCACCGTATGAAAAAGCGCCAACACAACGATAACAGCTAATGCGGCGACGACGATGACGACAACAACTACGACAGGAACGATATCTACTGAACGCCGGTCAACAAGGCGTCAAGCAGCCGGAGAGAACCTTCTACATGCCAACGCAGGCGGACGTGACGATCAGGGCCTTCCGGAAGTGGTACAACTCCCGCGGAGGTGGAGGTCCTCCGTGGGCCCAGGTACGTAGTAGGAGAAGATGTTGGGCGTCGTGGCGTGCTTTGACATCCCTCTCTCTATCTCCCTCCCTCTCTCATCAATTTACGCGCGCGCCGTGCTTCATGTAGTCTTCAGCGCGGTGTTGGTGATGACGTGGGGAGAGAAAACCACATCCTGATTTGTGGTTGATGTTCCATTTGCACCGTGGTATCGGAGACCGATCGTGGAACAGCTGCTTACTCCTGTCCTGGTGTTGGCTGCCAGTGTTGACTCCGAACCTCTTTGTGTGGGAAGCGGTAAAGTGTAGAACTTGCTTCGAGGCAAAAGAGAAAGAAGCCCCGGTTCTATGCAGCGCAATGAAGCACACAGCAGTTACGCGAACGTTCACGAGGGGAGCGCACAGCAACATCGGCCTTTGTGTTGACCAATACATTCGGTTTACCGGTGCAACAAGGACGGCCCGCCTCATCCTGTCTTGGTTGCTGTTTGTCGTTGACGCGGGCAGCGTACAGGCTTTACCCAGGAGAGACGTCGAGGGTGATGCAACGCAAGAATAGATGACACGGAAGAAAGGACTGAAAGAAATACGAAGTCAGCAGCTGGCACCCGTGAATAAACCGTCGGCCCGCACCGCAGAGAGAGAGGCGTCTTCGAAGAACTGTAGCCAGAAAATTGCGTCGCCAGTACACGTTTCTCAGTAGTCCAAAGAACCTCTCAACCCGAGCATCACCAAGAATGAAACAGCAACCACAAGAAAGACCGCCTGCTGCAGGAGCGAGCGAGCTTTTTATTTCGCGAGGAAAGCCTGGCCGGCAAGCATAACCTACCTCCACGAGACGACGGCGACGAATGACCCACATTCTCCTGCTTGATTTGCGTTGGCTGGACGCTGTTCCCCCGCCGCAACCCGTGCGAAGGGGGTTGACCCTTCCGACCTGGGTCCGGTTCTCCCCCGCGAGGAGATCTTGGACAGGATGGTCGCGCACACCAAGGACTGCTCCGCCTGTGGCAAGGCTTACCGAGGTGGGTATTATCCCGTTCTCGCTTGCTTGCTTGCTTTCTTCCTTCCTTCCTTCCTTCCTTCCTTTTTTTGTCGTGTTTTGTGCCCGCCACACGATGACGAACGCTAGGTATTCGCGGATTGGCCCGAATTGGGCGTCGAATGTCTTGCCACAGAGGGGGGGGTTGGCTTTCTCTTGCTTGAGCGATGAGGGAAGGGGTCAATGAAACACTCTCAACAATTGTAGCATTCGTCACCTTACTGTGTGGGCCGGTTGATGGGTACACCTCTTTCACCAAGACCAATCGGTTGACGCAGAAGCCTGCCATGTAAGTTATCCCCGCAAGCACACTCTGTACCTATGCTTGCTGAACGTGGATTGATAAAATCCTGAGAAGGCTTGAGACCGTCCGTCCGTACTCACCAAAGCACGCTATCCGTTCGCTGTGTCGGCCAATGATCAGTGTCGGGCAGGGTGAAGAAGGCGGCCGTCGGAGGGGCGTTGCTGTTCCTGACGGGGGCGGCGGTGGCTCCGCGGGGGGCGCTGGCTCTCAAGCTTGCCGCCGGGGCCCTCGCGAATGCGGGTGAGAAATAAAACAGCACCAAGGATGGCAACGCACCAGCAACAGCATTATTAGCAACAAGCACAACAGCAACAGCAGCAACAACGGCAACAACAATGGGGCTGTTGTTCTCGTGACCATGTGCCGTGATCCCGTCATAGCTTTCGTTGTCGACCCTGTGGTATCAGCGTTAGAGCGAGAGGATTTGAGTATCAGCGTCAGAGGGAAAAGAGATATCATCGAAGGTTTTATGTGCCACGGTATTTTCCATACCGTCTACCGGCACCCTCCCGCCCCCCGTGTCTGTCCTGCGGGCGTCGGTGGTGTACAACCGTAGCTCGTCCTTTACCGCTAATCTCATTCGCTCTTCATACGCTCCTCGTCTCCGCGGACCCCTAACGACCGCCCATCGACATCTCTCTATGTCTCCAACTGAAGAGTCTCTGGGTGCTTCGCCACAGGCCGAAGAATGAATGGCTGTGGATACGCTGCCGCCTTGTGTTGTTCGGGCGCCATGTAGATATCTCAACGTCGGATGCCGTAATTTGTTTCATTTTGTTGGCGTAGGATACGTGGAGATACCGACGCCCTCTCGCTGCTTCTGCAACTCTTTTTATATGAAAAACATGCGGTAATCCTTCTCCTTCACCCCCCTCCCCCCCCCCCCCCCCCCCCCCCCCCCCCCCCCCCCCCCCCCCCCCCCCCCCCCCCCCCCCCCCCCCCCCCCCCCCCCCCCCCCCCCCCCCCC